CAGCCTAAGAGTTACCAGCTTGATGTTGAAAGAAATTTCCAAGAACCCCAAAATGTAATTGCAGGATCTGCAGGTAACTCTTGCAACAGGTGGTGCCAAACTGCATACATTTACAATCAGAAAGAGATTGCAGCAATTTTTACCTACGTAGGAAGTGTGCCAGAAAAAGCATTTACCACATACATTGCCTCTGTTAATATTTTTGTTGAGTGAAAACTAGGGTTGCACAGATACCAAGTACAGTACTTGGTACAAGTACGAGTACATGTACCGATACTTTTGAGCTCCAAGACTAGACTAGAGAAAAATTCAAAAATTAGGAGGCAGCGGTCATTTGTAAGGAGCACACGGAGCTCCTGGGATTTGTACATCTCTGTTTTAATGTATGATTTTGTTTTTATAAATAGAAATAAAGTGATGCACAGATACCAGTTTTGCGAGTACGAGTACTGGTACTTGCCGAGTACTTACAAGTACGAGTACTGATACATTTTTGTTTATTGTCATGTGACAGTTTTTCTAAAACAATACAGACTAATGATTTCCGGACAGTGGTGGAGCACCAGAGCCAGGTCCCAGCTGCAACCTCTGCAACCCTGGTAGTTCTCATGAAAATGCCAAGTATCTGCACTAGTACTCGAAAAGTATCTGTGCATCCCTAGTGAAAACATGAGGAAAATTTGCCATTTTAATTTGTTTATCTTTTAGATGTAGGCACAGTTTGAATGAAGATCTAAAAGTCAACAATTTCTATATTTTTTGTACTTTTTCACATACATAGGCCATTATCTACCACCTCTGAAAACAATAGTTTCCTTGCTGGTATGCAGGTAGACCTTTTTATACTGAAAGTCTGAGTATACCTACTCAGACTTTCTTGATCTCAGTCAGTCGAAGTCAGTGTGCCATTCTTTTACCCATTTAAAATGTTTTCTCTCCTGGATTGGGTTTCAGGTGTCTCCTGCTCATTACAGGGTTTCCTGGAGATACCTCTGCATGCACGCCCCGGCTGGCACTACGAACGCTTCCTCCTTCTCCTGTCTGTGTTCATAGAATGTAATGCAACTCTCCTCCCTCCTCCGCACAAGTGACTGGTAGCACAGCTCAAGCCTGCTCTGTCCTGAGTACAGGCTATATGTGATGTAATTGGGGCAGGCACTCCCCAAACCTGAAGTTCAGAGACTGTACTTTGCAACCTGGACCCAGTGGTGGTGTAAAAAACAGAACTGTAAGCATATTTACTTAGAGTAACTCAAATATTTTCTAGGGATTGTTTCCAAGGATGCATTACAGTGGAAAACCTGGAGCCTTTCAGTACTTTTCAGATGTTTATTTGAATGGTGACAGTGAACAGGAAGTTGTTTGTGTGGGGAAGCGGTTCTTCCCAAGAGTGGACCCTTTGCCGATATCTTTGGTTTTTTTATTGACTTCTGAAACCTCCATCATTTGGAATTTTTGGAACTTGGCATCTTGCAGGTCAAGGAACTTAATGCAGTCCCATTAAGGGATGGGGCTAACCAGGATCATGGGGTAAAGACCTCACCAATGTCATCGCTATGTGGATAAAAAGCTACTTGCTGTCCATCCCACCAGTGTATGTGCCTAGCAGGAGTATGAATATTTTTTTTTCAAGGCATGAGCAGAGAACCTCTTTAGAGCAAACACTTAAAATGCTCTCGGGTGTTGGATAATGGTCAGATATGATTCATGAGCTGCCCTCTTATCATTGTTTACATTTTTACACATCACTTAAACTAACCATACACTGGTAGATTTTCAAATGAACTTTCATATATAAAATCTCATTAGAACATTCAGTGATGCCATCAGAGACTTGTAGAATGTCATTTTAAAATGTTTTTTTATTTTATAACATTCAGTTTTGAAAGATAGATTTTCTCCAACAAAAAAACAATCACTGTTAGAAAAATAATAAATATCCTTCAATATTTATTAATTTTTTTTCCTGCTCTACTGTCGAAATTGAATGGTCAATTTAACCCCATTAACTGTTACAAAATCGAATGAACATTTGGAAACCTTTTTCTAAAGAAATTCTACTGGTGTATGGCCAACTTCAGACATTGGGCTTTTATTCTGCTAACTTGCTTTGAGCAGTTACATAGTAGTTTAAGGCATTGTTACAGAAAGAAATTGCAATATATAGAGAGAAGCGACACATACTTTGAACTGCTCTAGGACAGTCTGTTCATTCTGAGTTTATTTTTTTCAGAGCAGATCAGCAGAATGCTGCAAATACTGTTCAGAAAAGTAGATATATTCCTACTAGGCATTCTGTATACTTCCTGGCATTATGCTGACGCCTTTTGTGAGATAAAATAACAAGTTTGTGTATTCATTCTTTAAGGTCATATGTTGTCTAGATGCAAGTCTGTGTGCCCACTTGTGTGAATTACTGGCCCACTAAAATATCCAATCACAATCCACATTTTATGTAGAGTTGAACGAGCCTGCCTTTATTACAGCATTGTGAACTGTACAAGTGTTTAACAGGTTTGATGAGCTCTGGTACAGGAGTAGCCTGCATTTTGGGCTGTAGTTACCCTTTGATACCTTTTTGGGCACAGTACAGCCTTTGTTTATAGCTGGTTGTAGCAGTCAAACCAGAGATTAAGCAGCTGCTTAATTGACTCAAAACAAAATGGGTCCTACTTTTTATACGTGTTTGTTTTCCTTCTTCTAAATCTGCATAGGTGCTGTGGCTTGTCTATTTTTAATTATGTTCTGTTCTTTTACATGACGGGACATTTATAGATTAATTTCTTTGATTTGTGCCTATAGCGAGGCAATTGCCACTTGCAGAAGTGCACAGAAAGATGAATAAAGTATTGTTCAATTTCAGCAAGTTCCCAGACACATTCATGTAGAAGATAAGTGGTTCTGACTTGTATCCCTGGGGCTGAACCATTGACGCCTTAATTTTTCCATCTGACTACAGTTTTAGGCGTACCTGGTTTTAGCAACCCATTTTCACGGATTGTTTTTAACAGGAGCGCGGTTTTAGGGAACTTCATTTGGAACCTTTGTCCTAAATTTGTTTCACTTTTTGACTTCCCTAACTGGAACTACTTTAGTTTTGTTGGTGCAGCAAATGTTGATAAAGTCAGACTAAATGCTCTATTCTATAACTTTAACAAAAGGATTTAAAAAAACTTCTTCTTTTTTTAGCCATGTGACTGTAATTTTATATTGGAAAGACCTCTTCACGAGGCTTAAAGAAGAAATCCGGGTAAAGAATAAACTTACCTTTGCAGTGGGGCCACTCCTGCACTGTAAGGCTGGGTACACACTTAGGCGTATCGAATATGCGCGTGTGCCACGCGGTTTTACCGCGCTGACGCGCGTTTCTGAGGGCTACCTGGCTGTATCTCAATGGATACGCACGGCAAATACACCCCAAAGAAGCTCCTGTACTTCTTTGGGAGTAGGGCGTTTTGTAGCACGTTCATATGGCCTGTAATACGCCCAGGTGTGAACCATACCCATAGGAAATAATGGGATTTCGATGTTTGAGCATTTTGCAGAGCGTACGAATGCGCTACAAAACGCCCAGGTGTGAACCGGGCCTTAGTGTTAAGTGCTTGTTTTGTTTAGGGCAAAATCGATCGATGGTCACTCGCACTCCAATTTGATGCAAAGTCAATCCCTTTATTGACTGGAATAGTGTTACATTTATAGCAACGTTTTGGAAACCAAGTGGTTCCTTCTTCAGGCAAACATAAAGTGACTTTGCATCAAATTTGAGTGCGAGTGACCATCTATCGACTTTGTGCTGTTGGCGGAGGCATCTGCAGTCGCTTCGACACCCACCCGGACTTTGGGTTCATTTCCGGTCAGGAGTGCGGTGGGATATAACTTGGATTGACTGTTTTGTTTAGGGGGCGCAAGTAAAGATGTATTTCTCACCTGATCCTCGGTCCCACGGCAGTCCAGTGCTCATCTCTCCCCGCCTCCACTCCAGCTATGAAATATCCCTCGGCGTCCTTGAGTCTAATGGAGGTCAATGGACCTGCATAAAATGTGATGACTTCATCAGTCCTTAGACCACCAGAGCGCAGGAAAGAAGAGGCTGTGAGGACTGGTTTAGCAGCCTGGTGGGACCAAGGATCAGTTGAGTATTTAAGCTCTGTAGACAAAATGAGCACTTAACCCTTGCAGTGTTGGTGTAGCTCCACTGCAAGGCTAAGGTTTTGTTTTTTGTTTTACCTGGTGTTCCTCTTTAATGAGAGCTTTATAAATACAGTTTTGTACATGAATTTGGCTGTCTCCAACCATCTGTCACAGCGCTCCCTCCAGCCTATCTCCTCCTATGCTGCAGCATTGAAATCTTCCTCTGCGTCCTCGCATCTATACACTGTTAATAGAAGGTGATGATTTACAGGACCTTAGGCTGCTGCTGTGGAGGGGGAGAGACACTGGAAGGACCGGTCTAAGAACAAGCCAGCTTGGAGCATCAGGTGAGTACAAGTATGATGTTTGTTTTGTTTTTTATCCTAGACAAAAACAAGCAGGTAACCCTTGCAGTGCAGGGGTAGCCCCACTGTAAGAGTTATTACAATTCTTCTTTAAAATTAAAACTTTAGCAACACACAGCCTCTATAGGTATTAACCTATGACTGCAACGTACAACCCTTGGAAATGCTTACTTATTGGGGCAATGGAAAATCGTAATAATTACATAGTAGTTGCTCTTCTTCCTTTTTTTTCTTTTTCAGTTCTTATTTTTTCTTATTGAAAGGGAACATTTGATTGCATTGTCTTGGTCATATGAGCAAGCATGCTCTGATGTCCCTGCCTAGCTGCTTCTCTGAGAGACCTGCCTATGAATGGTTCCCCCTATGGCCAGTGCTTTCTTCAAAGCAAGCACTGTCAAATGTCATAATAATGTGAATGCATTGTTTTGCAAATAAATTATATTATAAAAATGATTTCTAATACATGATGTTATCGCTAAATATATTTCCCATTCCATTTTACAGCGGGTGGCTACTACATCAGACAAAGACTTATATATTGATAACACTTCGATCGAAGATTCTTCAGGAGTATACCCAATCGATGATGATGACTACTCCTCTGGGTCTGGTTCAGGTAAATTTTACTAATATCAGCTTTGACAGCTTCTTTTATTTTGGCTTAGTTTCTTGTTTAGACTTGGTAATAGGTAATTAGTTAAGCTAAGAAGCAGTAGTATTTCCAAGAGCATCATGTTCAGTAGGAAGCTGACACACTTTAGCCAGGTTGCCTCCAAGAGATTGCTATATGCCTACTGTAGTGTGCTCACATGCTGAGTATTCCATCTTGGAGCACAGATTTCAAGCCAAGGTTTTTGTTTCCAATCATGTGACTTTGTAAATGGGTGGTAAAGCTTTTAATGCATTACGGTTTTGCCACGTTGGAACACATTTTGCTTGAGGTGTAGGTTACTGGGGCTTAAGATTAGGAGTTAGACTCAAGTTTAGGAACAGATGTAGGCAGCGAATGAAACAAATCATGGCCTTCTAATGCTGTCCAAGTACTGCAGACTATGCCGAAGTCAGTAGATCCATCCAATTTCCCTGGGGATTTTGTCATTCACTGCAGCCAGAATTCAGAGAGCATCTCACTAGGTCAGTGGGTTTGTACCTTCTAAATCTTGTTTAATTTCCGCTCTCCTTTTTTAATGTGATTTTAGCTCTTTTTACTGGTGTGACCATTGAGTGGCTAACACATGGGAATAAAGTTGTTTGTGCCCCAAAGTTTCAGGTACTAAAACTCCCACCTGTGGTGTTCTTTAGACTAACACTGGCCTAGGATAGGACAACCTAGGACAAGAGATGTGCTACTGACAGGAACACCGGTGAAAAAAAGAAAACAAATGCAGCCACTGAATCTAAAGACTGCTAAGCTGCAATAAATGACATTTCTTCAATTGGGTTTAGGCACACTTTAACCATTTGAGTTCTTGGGAAGCCCCCGTCATTAGACCAGAATTATATTTTTTAAAATATATTAGTGCTTTATTTGAGGACATTGTCCCCCCTCTTATTTATTCATGTATTGCAGTGTTCAAGTGTGAATGAGAACTGCGCCTGCTCACAGCATCACTACTGTTAGTTTACATACGCTGAGGCTGTGATCAGGAACAGTTCTCCTGCACACGGCCTCAGTCCTCTGTTTACATACGCTGAGGTTGTGATCAGGAACAGTTCCCCTGCACACAGCATCAGTCCTCTGTTTACATACGCTGAGGCTGTGATCAGGAACAGTTCCCCTGCACACAGCATCAGTCCTCTGTTTACATACGCTGAGGCTGTGATCAGGAGCAATTCTTCTGTGCACACTCAGTGCTTTCTTTACATCTGCTGAGGCTGTGATCAGGAACAGTTCCCCTGCACACAGCCTCAGTCCTCTGTTTACATACACTGAGGCTGTGATCAGGAACAGTTCTCCTGCACACAGCCCCAATGCTGTCAATTTGATGTGATGTAGCAGTCAGGGGGATGAGCAGCAGAAGGGAGCTGGAAAGAGGTTTCAAACGCATACAAAGTGTCAGATTTGTCTTTCTTTTTTTCCCCCCTAACTGCAAGCAATTAATAAAATCATTGCCCTGAGGTGAAATAGGTCTTTCACATAAAGCACTATTATATTTATGAAAAATGCAATGTTTGATCTGGTGGTAGAGTCTCTTTACTGATTGTTTTTACTTGTTGCCTGAGATTGCTTTTTAAACACATATAATGGGGGGAATTTATCAAAACTGGAGCAGACAAAACCTGGAGCAGCTGTGCATGGCAACCAATCCGCTTCTCTCTTCAATTTGCTCAGTTAAGATTTGAAAATGAAAGCGAGGACTTGATTGGTTGCCATGCACAGCTGCTCCAGATTTTCGATCTGTGCACTGCTTAAGGATTTGCACTGCCCTTTTTTCTACAGTGTCCTGCGACCGCTGATTGGTCAGCTCACAGCCTCTTCTCAAAAGAGAAGTACAGCCCAAAAAAGTTTTGGCTTCACGTTTAACTCTCTGGAAACTTCTATACAGCCAAACATGCTTCAAGCCAATTTTGCATGAAAAAATAGGGATTATATTGCAGTATTTGTTCAAACCGGTTTAACTGTATGGGTGAAATCCACATTTGGCCAGTGTCTACTTTGCGAATACAGAATTCTTACATGTATTCTACATATGACCCTGAGTATACAAAGAGTATATAAGGAGATAAATGCACCTTAAAGTGCACTTATCCTTTCAGAACATGATGGCTCGGGAAAACAATGTTTATTTTGCTGGTTAATCCAGGATTGGCTGCGTGTGAGTAATTGGGAGTACCAGTTGTTACATGTGACCACATGCTTCTAGCATCTCCTATTTTGCTCAGTAATTGAAAAACGATGAGAGCTGAAGACAGCCAGTTCACTGGTATTTTTAGGAGGAATTCACCAGTGGCTGCCTAGCATTTGTCTCTGCACGGGTTTATGTTATTTTTTTATACCGTCATCCCTCTGATACAAAATACAATTTTTATAAGCTACAGCTCCAAGCTATTATATGGTGTGAATGCTGCATTAGAGTGTCTACAGCGGCAAGAAAATGGGTTGTTGAGTGCACATGGCAAGCACTGAAATCTGAAGGGTCTATTTTTTCATGCAGCTGATCATTTGTTTTTTGTGTTAAGGTGCCCATACACCTTACGATTATCGGACGATTTTCGTATGCGATCGACTTTTCGTCCGATAATCGTACGTGTGCATTGCAGTGTCCGACCGACATTACTGTACAATCGTACGACTTTTGACGGTCAAGCATGTTTGAAAACTTTGCTAGATCGTACGATTGTCGTAAGGTTGCTGGCGTTTCCGTCCGTCAAAAGTCGTACGATCTACACTGCGCTTGCGCTAACGAAAATACGGCAAATCAATTACCGCATTTCGTCCAGGTGCTTTGCGTTAATTACGGCTAAATTAATCTTGCGATCATCGGGGCAGGATGGGGCTGCCGTACGAAAATCGTACGACTATTCGATCATCGGACGAAAAGTTTCGTCCGATAATCGTAAGGTGTATGGGCACCTTTAAGTGGATAACTTGCAGCAAGTGGATCCTGCTAGTAAATATTAAAATACTGGCATGGCAACACAAACTATTCATTAGACATGACAAATGCTTGAAAAAAAAAAATAGAACACTTAACATATGAACTGGACCCATCTATGCCCAAAACAGTGCTGTCATTGTTCTGTGCCACCCTCGTCCTCTATGCTAAATATAACTATAATATGTAAAACTAGCCTTAATATTGTTAAATAATCAGTTTGGTAGAAGGAAAATGTATAGGACTTTTTTTGATGAGGCGCAATGTAGTAGTTTTTAGCAGTCAGGCAGTCTTCTTTCACACACCTGAAATATGATTGCTATCATTAACTCCCCTTTAAATATAATCGTTGATCTTTCTCCTGCATTACATAATATGTTGAAGCCAATGTTCTTGTAATCCTTTTAATATGCTGTGTCCTGGAGACATGGAATATGGCAGGGATATATTGCACTAGTGGGGCCCATCTATACTGTAGGTGTTTCATTTCTTTGGATATGGAGGATGGGTCAGAGCAAAGTATAGGAAAGTAAGTTCTTCTTTATCCTCCAAAGAGGGACACAGGAATACAGGGATGTAGTAATTCTTAGGTATTTGGGTCTTACTGCCACCTTCAGAAAGTCTGGATACCTGGCAAACAAAAAAAGATTAAGCCAGTCTCCATATAACCTTTCTTCCAACCTAATACTCATTTTCCTCGGCTCTAATGAGAAAAACTCTAACTATTTATTACCTTTTTTTTTCTTCAATTCACATTAACAATTTTTGTTCAATTTATTTTGGTGTCTTCAATGAAGATTTGGAGAAATGCTGCTTGAGCTCATCTCTGCCCGGCAGTACCAGGACCCAGGTATGATGGAAGATTGTGGGATTAGCTTGGAATGTGACCTTCAGACACTGGGCTCTGCATTATGGCATTTTTCAGACTTCTGTGTACTGTTGGCCAGAGAGTGCTCTCCAGGTCCAGAACCGTGAACCAGTGTCTGAAGATTTGTGCAGTGGCTAGTCCTCTGAATGTGGCAAGGCTATCCTGGAATGTGACCTTTTGGGCAACGGGGTCTGCTCTGTGGCACTTTCCAGACCTATGTGTACTCTGTCACTTGCAGATCGGTTTCCAGGTCCAGAGCCATGACCCAGTTACTGAGGACTCACAAAGTGAGTACGGCCAACCTAGCTAAAGCACTGGCAGCTACCTCATAGTTGGTTCTGTGTTGACATAATTTCTAGTTGGAGTGTTGCACACATTCTCAGTTCTCCATCTCTCTCCATTCAGCCTAGAGAAAGCAACTTCCAGCTGCTACACCTGCTTTTCAAGCACTTTGTGTTTTTACCTATTCTCTGTTCTCATTCAACGGCCGGCCTTCAGTGATTTTGCAACCTACAACCCTCTTCAGCAATTTGCTGCTTGGGTTTATGAGTTTGAAGCACTTTGCCTCACTTTAGGCCTAGTTGCAACATGTCTCTTAATAGACACAGGAAAAACACATTGCCACTGCAAAGGGTGACGTCCCTTACTTCTCCATTGTCCATAATTGATATCAGTTGTTAACTAGATTTGAACCCTCTGTCCTAACAAAGGGTTAAAGACTTAGAAACATTTGTATGTTAATGAGTAAAAGCTCAGTCTGTCCCTCAGTTTGACCCTCTACTTTTACTTTCAAACTGCTCTGAGTAGATTGCAATCTGCACAGTTATTCCCAAGAAATATCTAATAGGTAAGAAATATATATTTTTGCTGTGTGAATAGGAACACATACCAAATATATAGTGGGGTTTTCTCACATTTGACTGTAAAATGGGAACTATACACCTCTGTTAACCAGTTAATCTTTGTTTAGACGTACCTTTTGTTTATCAAACCTTCTTTCCCATGAAGTCAAGCCTTCAGCTGTTACCTGGCTCTTCGTTTTGTTTGGGCACACCTTGTCTGTTCATTCTTTCCTTTCCCTACAGTCAAGGGTTGGGTATCCTAGGTTTCCCCCTTAAACATGCCTTTTTGTTGACATGTTTTCCTTATGGTTGTTCTCCACGAGGTTCAACTTTTTTTCAGGTAGCAGTTTCCACTGGTGTAGATGACCTACCCTGGTCTGGAACACCAGGTTGATCCTTGAGTTTTTTTCTTTGGTTGTGGTAGTTTCTATATTTGTTTTCGATCTAGCCTTCGTTCAGGCGTGGACTCTTTCAGATACTTTTTAGTAAGATTTTCAAATCCCTTGGATCTCTGTGGCTGTGAAACTGCTTTTGGACATCTCAAATGTTTAAGAATTACTACATCCCTGTGCCCTCAATAGAGATAAAGAAAATAAGATTTATGTACTTGCCATAAAATTGTTTTTTTCTTGAAGTCAATTTAGGGACACAGGTCCCACCCCTCTGTTATTGGCCTTATGTACCTCTTGCTCACAAAACTATGGCATGATAGTTTGAGGCAGGGTTATATGGAGACTTGGTTAATGTCTTTTGTTTGCCAATGTCCAAACCTCCTGATGTCGGCAGTATAATCCTAATGTGTAAGATTTACTACATTTCTATGTCTTTTAATAGAATGGCAATTAAGAAAAAGATTTTACGGTAAGTACTCTACACCAATTTCCACTGGTGTAGACTAATTACTCTGGTCTGGAACAACAGGATAATCCTTCAGTTTTTCTTTTGGTTGTGGTAGTCTTTTTCTGTCAGTCTTAAAGTTAACCTATGTTTAATCCAAAGCTAAAAGACCAAATTAAAATGAGACCGTTGTAAGCATCTGATAAAGACAGGTATAGCTGGCTCCCCAACACAGGGCTTCAAAGTATCCACGAGCCCCTAATTGTTTATAAAAAATGTTTCTTTCTAGGAGTTGGCACCTCTCATGTGATGGTGCTAAGACTTCTCAATAGGTTTCTTATGGGTATGCTTAGTACTGAAAGACTGATCTGAAATTGAAGAGGCTCTCAAGCCACATACAATTATCTTCTTTGGGGTTCAGGCTGTAAAGGAGTTCAGTTATATATTAGGCTTCAGGCCAAGCACATGTAAGAGATCACAAAATTTGTGGATTCTGATGTCATTCTAATTTCTTATTCTATATTAAAACCTGAAATTGCACAGTCTGATAGACTCATTCTGTTGATGTCTTGATAAACAGGAGTGGCAGAAGTTGATGCTGAAGAAGTCCCAGTACAGCTGTCAACCCTCCAATCACTTCCAGAGAGTCCACCCACTAGTGATGCTCCAGTTATAGAGACGACTACGCTGAAGATGCTGACAAAACTTGTAGTGGCAGCAGAGGTATGTTCATCATTTTGCGAATTACATTTGGAATGCATTATTTGTAAAACACCAGCAAGTTACTCAGCAGCTTACAGTAAGGACCCATTCACACTTAAGCGTTGCAGTGCATTAACGAAAGTATGTAAATGTGCATTACAGTACGGCAGCCCATTCATATCTAATTAGTTACCAACACACCACTAAAGCCAAAATCTGACATGACCCACGCATCGGAATGGCACCCCCACACAGTATGCATATTGTCATGCCTTGCAGTAAGTTGCAGTAAAATGCCCATTAGTGTTACACATAATTGTGGGCACCAAGATGTTTGCAAACACTTAAGGTGGTGATGGTTATGAGTCCAGATTTCATCATAGCTTGGAATGGCATGCACAAATTCTAAGGGATTTGGTGAACACTTGTGTTTGTAGGCCAAGATCAAGGTGTCTCCTCTATTAATATGCTTGTTTGCAGAAGTCAAGCATTCAGTAGCATAAATTATGCTAATATAATAAACAGGGAGGAACTTTATTGAGGGATGTCTGGCGTGTACTGTAAACCTACATAGACAGGTTGTTCTTGCGTACAAGTGAAAACAGTACTTGGTTTTCTCATGAGTGAAATAAGTAAAATGTCATGATGCTTTCCAGTGTATTTCCTTCCCATCTGCCAGATCTCCAATCTGTATATTTCAGCCTTTCAAATCCCATGATTGAAACAGCAATATCAAGTTCTGTACCATAGAATCCAGTCAGATTTTGGATGTCACAATTGGCCGAGCATTTGAAGATTCTGTGCTCTCTGAATCTTGCCCTATGCCTTACTAAGGAAAGGCCTTTTCTTTTAAGTCCTATACTAACAGGAGTTGAATGCATATTATAATTGTGTTCTTGCTCATTAGGCACGTGCGTTTATGTGCAGTGCCCTGCTTGTAACGTCTCTCCCCACAATTCTTCGTAGGTTAGCCAGTTCCTAGCTCAGACAGTGAAACTAAAATTAAAAGTTTAATTTACTAGTGCTTCCATTTACTGCTGCTAACCACAGCTTTCAGAGGGAAAAGAAATAGAACCAAAAGACTAAAAACACCTGGTGCTTAAAGCTGAGCTCGGGGGAACTAAAAAAAATCTACCCTTGCAGTGGAGCTCCAACCGCACTGCAGGAGTTAAATGCTCTTTTTTTTTTTTGCCTATGGGACCTCAAAAAGCACTTTTACATCCCCTGGCAGTCAGCACTCTACTCTTTCTCTGATGCTCCAGTTTGTGGTGGGCCATCGGCATCCTCTCTTATAATGCAAGATTGCTGGTCCCTCATTCTACATAATATGTCAGGTTGCAACCACTAGGGCAGAGCACCAAAGACAAGTGGCTTAGGGGGACCGGTTGCATGGAGAAGAGGAGTCTGTGGGAGCAAGGGATAAGGTAAGTAAAAGTCTTTATTCCATCTCCATTAATCCAGAGTCCAGTCACTGCTAGATGATACTACCTGTAGTGGATTATTGGTCACTTGGCCTTGGCTGAGGATAAAGCTTTTGTCAGTTCTGTCTGAAAATCCTTCTCCAAAGCCTTTTTGTTCTGTGACAGAGCCAGCCTGAGCTAGGCAGGAAGTGGCTATTTCCAGAAGGAGGTCAACAATTGCAGCTTCCTTATTTTTCCTAATAGAGGTTTTGGCAGAGGGGGATGCAGACACTGAGCGGTTGGTAACTTGAATGAGTCTGGCAGCTGCATTCATGATAGACTGAAGGGGGGATATCCTGTGTAGTGGAAGGCCAATGAGGGGGGAGTTACAATAGTCAAGACGAGAGATAACAAGTTTTGCGGTGTCATTGGTGAGGAAGGGATGCAATGACATTCTATTTAGTTTGTTTTGCTTCCTCAACTGTGGTCTTGGGATTTTTATTCATTTCTTTATTTTAACTCGATGGGCATTTTCCAACTTTTCTTGTTAATAAGAATCCTATAAAACCTCCCATGCAGTACGTGGCATTTTTCTTTGCTGGTAATACAACATGCTTTACTGACCTTTTTTCTAAATTGTTCTCATAGTTCCCTTTAACTTTTGCAATTAATGGCTGAACTTTATGCCAACTGCTAAATGCACAAGTGAAATGCATATAAAGGAGCTGTTTTATTTATTGTCCATCCAGTCCTGTGATTTACACATTTTTCACCAGACCCGCATGGCCTGACTGGTGACCTGACATTTCTTTGTAACAAAGCTAGGTCACCTCCTGCCCTCAACCTGTGTTTGGACAATGATGGAGGTGGAACAGTTACCTCTTCTGCTCACAGCTCTCCTCCTGCCAGAATGTTCAGCACATGTGCAGGGTGCATTTCTGATTCCCCTCCCTCTCCCAGGCTTAGTGCTGCTGTACAAGAGATTGTAAAAGGCTGATGTCAATTTTAGGTTTTTAAGATGGGTGCATTACAAAATGCACTTCATTGTTTGAATTAATATTTAACTGCAATATTGTTTTAAGTCTGCCATGAGATCCGCTTTACCAAACTTTGGTGTTCATCATTGAATCATAATTGCTTGTCACCAACACTAAGGCCGAGTAATATCTGTTAACCTTGTTGGTTTCCTGCCATTTTTCCCTGTTGCATGGCATGTGCTAAGCAAACGCGGGGACAACAGTAGGAGATCCGCATTGGGTGAGGCTGCCGGCACTTGCGAAGCTTCAGACTGCTGTAATGCTTTGTGTGTTTAGTATGTGTGGGTGGAAAAGTAAACCTTCATAATGTAAGGAAACATTCATGTTTGATTTTCTGTAAACTGTTTCTATTCTGACAACGTAGGGGCCTCAGATCAACAAGAATAAGGAGTCCGCAGGAAGCAACGCCAATGGTGATACAGACGTATACACAGAGAAGCAGTCAGAGAACCTCTTTCACAGAACAGAAGTACTTGCAGGTGAGCATTAGTAATGAGTCCGGTATCTGTGTAGTTGGCATACGTTTTTCTCTGCTGTAAAGTTGTACTTTGTTTAGATGGAGAAATAGTATGTGCAAAACAGTAACCTATATGATTAGAGGGCGGCCTCACCTTTTACGCTTGGTCTTTCTGCGCAACACAGAATCCACTTTCAGCTATAAATGGGGCTCTTTGTGTACATTGTTTTGCACCACACCACGTAACAAGAAAGGTGCAGGGAAAAGGAGCCATAAAACTGCAGCATATTGATGTTTTCTAGTAGGGTTGCACAGATATCAAGTACAGTACTCGGTACAAGTACGAGTACATGTACCGATACTTTTGAGCTCCAAGACTAGACTAGAGAAAAATTCAAAAGTTAGGAGGCAGCTGTCATTTGTAAGGAGCACAGGGAGCTCCCGGGATTTGTACATCTCTGTTTTAATGTACGATTTAGTTTTTATAAATATAAATAAAGGAATGCACAGATACCAGTTTTGCGAGTACTGGTACTTGCCGAGTACTTACAAGTACGAGTACTGATGCATTTTTGTTTATTGTCATGTGACAGTTTTTCTAAAACAATATCGACTAATGATTTCAGGACAGTGGTGGAGCGCCAGAGACAGGTTCCAGCTGCAACCCTGGTAGTTCTCATGAAAATGCCAAGTATCTGCACTGGTACTCGAAAAGTATCTGTGCATCCCTATTTTCTAGTCATCCTTTGTATATTTTACTGCTGACCGGTAGTTGTAAGCTGGATATACACTTTTTTCAATTTTACTCGATCAACCCACACACTGAACGAAGAGCAAAGATTAGAGCAAATTTCCTGCGGTTTCCTTTTGTGCAAAGATTTTCCAACTGGCTCCTTCGATCTTCTGATCAAGGGATGCCAGCTGGAGGGGTGCCAACAGCTGCACCCACTGTGGGCTTCTTGGCTGGTTCATGAAGGCCCACCTGAAATGCGCATAGTGTATGGCCAGCTTAAGAATCCCTTTGCCCGGTTCTCGATATGGTTTAATGGGCTAGTGTCAAAGGGCTTTTGTTCACATCAGAACTGCTCAACAGGAATGCAAAAGTAGTTTAAAACAGTTTGATGCATCTTGGGAGGGGTACTTCAGGTCAGGAGGATTTCAGCTGCAGGTTGGAAGCTCCCATCTGTGTACTCAGTTTGAGATTAAGATTAATGAAATATTAACGGGTAGTTCCAATTTTGCAGTCAAAGTTGGGAAACTTCCACTACGTTTGTGTTCCCATTCACACAACATGCCTAAAAATATATCTCTATTTTTTTAAAATAACACATTACATTGTTTGGAGCAGGCCTTTGGGTAGACTGAAATTGTTCAGGGAAGCTTACAAAGTGAGAGTGGAGAGGGACAAAGTGGGGACAGACTGAGTTTCCGCTGATTTAACACACAATACAGAACACAAGCCCCGAGTTCTTTAACCGGTGTTCAGTTCTAGTTTACAGCTTATGAGATCTGCCAGAATAGTACAGACAGGGTTAATTATGGTAATCCTTGGCTCCCCATCCCTTCATTAACATTGCATCGCAGAGGAAAAATTCCATCTAGGAAATGTCTGAAAACAGCAAGAAAATTGTGAGCAGCAATTGTTAAATATCTTTTAAGGTCTACTATGTGAATGGGAACATAACGTGTGTGTGTGTATATATCTATATATAATTTTTTTGTGTTTTTTTTTGGTGGTGTGCCAATTTGGCGGCACAAATGGAAATGCTTGTTAAATGCAGCTAAAAGCTTGCTGCATCTGCCGTCAACACTATTTTCTGTGTCTTCGTTGCAGAGATTTCTACTCCTGTTATGTCCTACAGACACAACAGGAAAGGAGGGGAATTCCACCTTTGACAGTTGCCACAGGTGTCCCCATTGGCAGATTTCCACTCGCCTTCTGTTCAGTGACAAATGTCACATTTTGAACTTCCCTTCACTTTCTACCTGAGGGCACAACTGTAAAAACCTAATTAGTTGGAAGCTTTCCCTACTTGATCAATGACTGAAAAAAGGTTTTTGTTGGGGTTACACTTGGTTTTTCCTCATATTTGCTGCCTGAATTTTCTATGATGGCATTATTATCATGAAATATTATCAAATACTTTTGATTTACCATTGTGCACTTGATTAGTGCCATGCTATCGATACAACATGATCATAACCAATTTATTTGTATGTATGATTTTTTTTTGTGTGCGCTTTATATGTATTTAATATTTTCTATGCTATGTAGCATTTTGAAGAACATTACCTTTCATTGTTAATTTTATTTGTACATTTCTGGGTTATGTAAATCTTGTATGATTCAAAGCTGAACACCGGAATAAGCAATTATTGTCTTGATACAAGAACATGCATATTCTTATTTGAATCGTGCTGATCTTTGTGTATTTCTTTCGGATCTGTGCAGTAATCCAGTGTGAATTGTCGCCTTTGTGCAAAGACCTTCCTGTAATAAAGACCAGTCACTGCTGCACATTCTCCTTGTGCAGGGTGACTGGTCTTGTTTCTGCAGACAGCCTGTAGTGGGTGGGGCCTGCTGGGCCCCTCCCACAGCTTTGCTCAGGCTTTATGTAGCACAGTGATGATGTCACTGCTGCTTTTGCAATGTAATAATGGCGTTTTCAAAGACATTTGGTGCACACAAAGTGGATTTATATACTTTGTGGCTATTGGGGAATATATTAGATTTTTTTGTGTCTCAAGTTCAGCTGTAACTGTAACCCCTTCCTAGTCCATGATGGGCTGACACTAAGGGCTGGCCACAATTCCCAGAGTAATATGTGCACACAGTAGAAGAAAGGCAGTAATTATTCACATATATATACAGCATCTTACTGGGGGGTTAGATTTATTCTATACTATACAGCATTAAGTCACGTGTGCTATATATTCTTGACGCGCTTCAGTTTACCTTAAAGTGACACTAGACCAGTGTTAATTTCATCCACTACATTTTTTGTCAGTCTTCAGTGAAGCTGCATGTTTTCAGTGACGAAAACTAAATAAAATCGAAGTTAATAGGACTAAATCTATGACAAAAATACATTGCGATTTCCTCTGCTGGAGATTGTTGACAAAACTAGACTAAAACAATTCAAATGGCATTTTAGTTTTAGTCGTATTTGAGTCATCTGAATTGTTTTAGTCTAGTTTTGTCAACAATCTCCAGCAGAGGAAATTGCAATGTTATTTTCATCATAGATTTAGTCCTATTAACTTCGTGTTTATGTAGTCTTCATTTTGTTTTTGCCTCTGAAAACATGCAGTCAACGTATACTATGACGAAAATATTTAGTCAACGGGATTTGCACCGCACTAAACTCCGGAATTCAATCTTAAAAATACATTGAAGTACCTTAACTATTAACAAAAATGTATCATATTTGTGTATCACTCAGCTGTAGATCCTCAAATCATCTCTGAATTGGTGCTGACACTGTCCTTCCTTCTGGAGGGGGACTACTTCTGTTCCCCATGGTCCCTGTGTGTGTTGTAAAGGAGCCACCTCTCCAAGCTCATTCCCGTGATGGACTACAATCTCATGTTTGTTTACTAATTTGTATTGAGATTGTAGTCCACAGGAGTGAGCTTGGAGTGGTGACTACTTTACAACACACACAGGGACCATGGGGAACAAAAGTAGCCACCCTCCAGAAGGAAGGACAGTGTCGGCACCAATTCAGAGATGATTTGAGGATCTACAGCCGATTGATATACAAATAAGGTCCAGTTTTGTTAATAGTTTAGGTATTGGATGGATTTTTAAGATTTAACTCCTGAGTGTAGTGTCACTTTAAATCAGACTACAGCTATAATTATAGCTTTTTCCCTCCCCAAAGCCAACCCTTAGCTTGGTTATCCTTTAAGAGTGTTGGGAGATTAAGAAATACTTCCATTTTTTATTTCATGTAAAATTAAGCAAAGTACAAAGGCACCTCTTGGAGATGCGTCTTACGGTGTACCACACTTCTAAAGGGCACAGAAAATAAATTGCATTGTTATTCACATTCAGGCAAGCAGGAATCTGCAACATGTCCGACTCTTTTGAGATCAACACACCACAGATGTCTGTGACTAAATAACTGAGCCCTGGTATACTGAAGGGTGTTTCTCCTGGAAACTGCTCCAGATGAACAAGGTTCACTTCCATTGCCATATTGTTGATTTAAGGCTATGTTCACACCATGTCCGGACCAGATCTGGAGCAGATCTGCAAACGCAGCGCAGTGCATTTTTGTCACGATTTTTCTTAGCTTGAAATGGGATTTCAAGTGCAGTCCAGTACGTTACAGCACGTTTCCATGCGTTCCAGTGCATTCCAGACCAGAGAAAATGATACGAGCAGTATCTCTTTTTTTTTTCTGGACCGGAACAGACTGCGTTGGTGTGAATAGAGCCCAAAAATACCATAGGGATACATTGGGATGCTTTTTTACTCCGGGAACAAACTGTTTTGGTCTGGACATGGTGTGAATAAGCACTTACAAACTGATGATCTTAGTGGAGCCTTTGTGCTTTGTGTAACCTACATGCAGTTGTACCCTCCTGATGGTTTTATGCAAAGAAATATATACAGATATATTGATCGTCGTCAGTTGTGCAGTATTATTGTCCCCCGATATGGGGGTATCGAATAAGAAATCTACCTAATGGCAGATTGCTACTTCGGGGTCTGAGTTGCATTTGAGATGCGTTCTTCCTGAGTAGCCAATCAATGCCTTTGTCTGCATATAGATCCCAGCCACAAGTGGTGATTTGCCGGTAAGGCGAAGAAGACCTCCTGCCAGGTAAGTATTTTTCAGCGGGCTTAGTGCTAGCTTTGGGTTAGAAGTTAGCAGGGAAGACACAGTGGTAGTCTGTCTTTATTTCCTCTTTAATATAACACATCAATGATTGAAGTTCTGCTTTACCCAAAATGTCATATCTAACAACACATCTAATCTTTCCTTTCAGCGGTTATTGCTGGTGGAGGCATCGGCTTCCTTTTTGCTGTTTTCCTAATCCTGCTGCTTGTTTATCGCATGAGGAAGAAGGATGAAGGCAGCTACGACCTGGGAGAGAGAAAACCATCCAGCGCAGTCTACCAAAAGGCACCTACTAAAGAGTTTTACGCGTAAAACTCCCACGTAGTGTCTCTCTTTTTGAGATCACTGAACTTTTTTCTTTTTTCTTTTAAATAAAGCTTTTGCATAGAATTAAGAAGATTTTTTTTTTCCTTGTTCTCTAAAGAGCCTCGGAGGCAAATTTATGATATGGAAAAAAAAATCCCATTGTATTTAAGAGAATAAAAACTTTTCATGTATTCCTTAAAAACAAAAAAAAAGTTAAAAAAAAATAAAAAAAATCTTGGCATTGTTGAGTGGGTAACAGTGGCAAAGTATTATTTTATATGACCATTGGTATTCACCAAGATGTTTCATATCTTTATGCATAAACATACAAGATGGAAAAAATTACAAACGGTAGCTTTCAAACTTCGGGTCTATAAAAGGTTGTTTAATATTTTTAGCATGTCTCAGATCGCTCAAAGTTTTAGTTTTTGTTTTCAATAATTTATCTGTTTCCAAACAAATGCCTTTAGTAGTTGTCATGGTGCAATTGTCCTAGGGTAATTCAGATATACAGTATATTAGTGTAAATGTACTTTTTTCTTTTCTTTTTTTTTTCTATGTAAACTTAAAAAAAATGTATAAATCTGTTTTTTTTTCTTCCTTCTCCTTTTTTTTTTTTTTACAAAACCGCTCTGATTCTCAGTGTACTTTCTAGCGAATTTAGTCTGACGTGCAAAATGAAAAAAGAAAATGTCTATTTACCAGCTGTTCGTAAGCTACTCTTATTTGTAAAGGTGCATTCACTCTTATAACGTTTGTATTTTCAGAAATAAAAAAGAGAGAAAAAGCACTTTCTGTATAGGGGGGAAAACGCAATGGCACGCACTCCTGCTGTGGCCACCAAAATCTGAATATTCAGTTTTGGATAGAATTCAGGGGATTAATAGGCCAACCCACCATTTCCTGGTCCCAAGCTAATCCCTCTGCTTTTGATCTACTAAAGTAACAGGAACAGAAGCTATTATTGTCACATTTTTGCTGTTCTCGTATATAGTTTTTCTTCCAAAGCAATTTTCTGATCTTCTTCTAGAAACTAAAAATTCCCATTTTTGTTCAAATTTGCTATAGTTCCACTTAGTAGTCCCTACATCACAACAGTACGTAGTAGTGATGTAGGAGCCAGCTTTGGCCAAGTATCCAACACACCCGGGTTAGACGCTGAAAGATTTTTCAGCAGCTGTAGCTTTACAGCAGGTCAATGATCAGTGGCATGGCTGGCCAGACAGGTAAGTATTATCTATTTGCTTTACAGACTTGTAGGGCTTTTTTTAGTTGTTTTTTCTTCGTGTAAACTTTCTCTAGCAAGAGTTACTTTTTTTTTAAAATAAGGCGTTCAGTAGAGGAACACGCATTTAAATTTATTCAGCAACACGAAGGGCAAAGAACAGCAGAATCATGGCAGCAGCCAATCAGAATTCATGTTGCACTCAGCTGACCGCAGTAAACTGAAGCCTGGTTGGTTGCTGATCTTTTCTATTTATCAATGTTCTTTCATTGGATTCGCCTGATATTGGTTATAGAAAAATAAAACTTATTGCTTGTATTTGTTAATCGGGTTTCTGCTTCTCTTCTAGCTAAAATCAGTGCAGGCATTTTTGTTTCCTCCCCTAGTTTGTATATCTGTGACATTACTACTATGTTCATATTTTAAGAGTGGATGCACCTTTAACTCCTCCATACAGGAGAAGGCCAGTAACACCTTACTTATAATGAAGTGCTGGTGACTCTGGCTACACATGTCTTACATACGTGATCTGATGTAGACCGTGGGCCTCATCAATGTCTGCAAAGAACCGTACGTGCTTAACCTAGCAATCAGATACTTCAATCCATGTTTCTAGGAATGTTAAAAAAAAAATGGTTGCTAGGCCTAACTCCTTTTAGTCATTGGCAGATAAGGTCCAATTAGAGGCTTTCCAGTTGACAAGGTGTGCTAGGAGTTGTAGTACATCAGCCGCTGGAGAGCTGCAAGCTGCTTTACCTTGGCATGGATTATGACAAGCTCAACAAGTTCAACAAGCAACTCCAACCAAAACCATGTTTTCTGCTTTTGCTGGGATGGGGTTAGATTCCCCCCCTAATTACTGCTTTCCAGGACCTCCTAGGGGAGATGTGCTGCCCTTCTTTAGGATCACAGTCTGATCTCAGTTCAGCCAAGCCACCAATATCAATGGCATAAGCTAGCTCTCTATATGGAACATGCACAAGAGGGTGAGTGATGCAGCGTTGCTTTGTCCTGTAACCTTCTGTGGATTATCCATAGGGGGACTCGTGGGATAGTGACAACAATAGCTCAGTTCAAAAGCCATACTCGGTCTTGTATTTTGGATTTGAGGGGAAAAAATAACCCATTTTGGATCCTGGAAAGCAGTAAAGACCTAGCGGTGGAATCAACCATGCCCCCACTACACCAAATCAGAACTCTGTTTTGTTTGGAGCTGTTATTCAAAGGGAATCTGTCAGTGTACAAATATGGAAGCTGCCATTGCTGATCTGTTCCTGAAGGGTCCGTCATTCTGACATTTTGCTTCACTACATGGTCTTGTTAGTCTGAACATATAAGGTGTTCTATACCATTAACACAAAATGGCAGTTCCTCTAGTCTTTCCTGGCAGGTTCCTATTACATTTTGGCTATTTGGCTGTCGTGGAACTACAGGTCCCAGCAAGCCCTGCCAACCAGCTATGACCTGTAATTCTATGGCAGCTAGGAAGCCATGGCTATCTAAGCCTGGATTGTGTGGTAGAACCAATTCCAAAGATTAGAACAGTATTTGACAAAGTCTGTGGCCACAGTACAAACTTTTTCCATGTGGTTTTTTTTTTTTTCTTTCTCTCCAAAGGTACGAATAGGAGTTGTTGGAGAGTTTTTTGGGTTTTTTTCCGGTTGTTTTTCCTCCATGCATTTAAGTTGTAAAAGTCTTTATAAGCCTTTGAAGTGCCTATGATTCCATGTAAATTGTTGCAGACTGTGTTACAGAGTGTATGACAGTAAACAAACAAATGTTGGTATTTTATAAGCACAGAAAAAAATCAAATGGTAATTTTGTAGTCTTACATCAATAGACCTAAAATGTAACTTGGGAACATAAACACTACTAAATAAACAAAAATGTGGCCTAATGATGGCTATTTATGTGTCATTATTGCTTATGATGTATGCTACATTGTGCTAACGATATGCCTGTAATATGGATTTTACAAACAAATATATACAAGGGATTTGATATCTAACGTTGATTGTAAAAGGTTGTATTTTTTTTACTCACAAATTGTCGTGTTTTATTCACTCATTTGTAAGTATGTGATCTGTGGGACTGAAAGCAAAGAACTGGGAACAAAAAAATATAAGCGTTCGTCAAGCTTTACCTGCAGTATCAGTTGTAGGTGGAGGCTCCTGGGTTAACAATGCAATCATTGTTTTATCTCGCTCTTAAAATTAAAGTAGATGTACGCAATCATCAATACCTCATAGGAGCTTTAAAGTGGAATTTTACCCAGATCTTTAAAATAACAAGAAACACACCTTAAGGCCGGGTTCACACCTGGGCGTTTTTCAGCGCTGATCGAAGCGCTGAAAAATGCTCAGCAAGTGAAATCCCGTGAATCCCTATGGGCATGGTACCAACCTGGGCGTATTTCAGCCCGTGGAAATGCGCTGAAAAACGCCCTACGCCCAAACAAGTACAGGAGCTTCTTTTGGGGCGTTTTTCGCACGTATTCATTGGTATTCCCGAGTGTGGCTTGGGGTTAACAAAGCGGTAACCCCGAGCCACACTCAGGAATACAGCGTAGGACTTACCTTGTCCGCGATCCCCGCTGTGTCCTCCGGCCGCTGCAGATTTCCGGGGTTCCGTTACTTGCGATCGGCCGCGTCGGGGGGGGCTTGGTTGGAACCGGCGGGAAGTTTTAAAGTTTAAAAAAAAAAACATAGGAAACATTTTTTCAAAAAACATACCGCCAGGGAGGTATACAAACGCACGTTTCACTGAACGAAAAAACGCACGAAAAATGAGCGGAAAAAAACGCGCCTATGTATGCCCAGGTGTGAACCCAGCCTTAGAAATGTTTAGTAATGACCATCTACAAATGCATACTTCTAGATAATTACTGGCTTTGTACTCTTTGCATATCTTATGACAGCGGCCATGTTAACTAGCTCTCCTATTCCTTCCTGGAACTCTGGCACATGTGACTAGGACATGTGACCATGCACATCATCTCACGGGAGGAAAATGCCTTTCCCTGAGATCTCATGAGATTCCCCAGCAATGTTCTGCTGATGTAACTTTCCCAGGATGCAACGCTTGGGCACATTAAATAATTTGTGCCAGAACTGGACCAGGAAGTGGATAAACTCTATTTTTAAGTAACTAAAAAACAAGTTTGTTAAACAAATGAATGTAAGATGATTTTAAATCCATATGCAGAGCTGAATGCTGATTTTTTTTTTTTCCATGAATGTGACTCCTTCCATTACCAGGCTATTTTTCAGTGCTGTGAGACACTGTATCCAAATTCATTTGATATCAATTTTTGAGACACGGTTTTCTTTTGGCAGTGTTTTAAATAACACACTTTAAAGTTATTCTATAAAGGTAAAAAAGATTCAAAAAACAAACATTTGCGATGTTAAACATAGCAAATAAAAAAAATTCACCCGGACAGTACAAAAGACACCAATATGATCCCTTTTGGGACGGTAGACACCCCAGGGTGATCCTAAGTTTTTTACTGGTTTTTTTTATTTTATTTTTTGAAGCATACCGATATTGAGGGGGGAACACATGGAGCTAGTGATGCACTAGATACATTAAATGTATAGGTCAAAGGGAGGCAGAGGTGCACTGGTTACTGTACATGTGACATACAGTGGGAGGATGGAGATGAAGGGGTTAATGTACAGATGTGCCGGATAAGGGAGGTAAAAGAGTTAATATACAGCTCAGAGCAGAGATCAAATAGAGCTGACATATACTGTAGCGTAGAGAGGGTGAAAGCGTTATTATTATTATTATTACTTCCTGTGATTATTTCTTGCTGCAGCTTGTTTTCACCAGGAAGTAAAGAATGGATGTCTCATTTATTCATTGGTTCCTTTACTCTCCCCTGCCTCTGATGTGAGAGGGAGGGGAGTGCTTGGCCATGTAAACGCTGTGATAATCAGTATAAATATGAAGAAGTCACTCGCACTCCAGCGCAAGTTCAGTCAATATTTTTTTACCTCTGTGGTGTCACAACTTGGCAGCCATGTTGTGACACCACAGAGGTAGGCTTGGCACCCACCCGATACTTGAGGGTATTATCCGGTCAGGTGTGCGATTGGTTACAACAGCGCAATAATCAAAAGAAACCCATCACAAGGCACAGAGCCGGTCTGATTGGCTATTTGCCTAAAGCCGCTGTTCTTTGATGTACCTCCTCTTAGAACAACGGGGCAGCAGGCTAGCCGTTTATGTACAGTGGCCAGTCCACAGGAGGTTAATAACCAAACAAAAATATGTTAGTTTGACCTGCGCTTCAAAACAAATGCAGCTGCAATACTTCCCTTCAATCCAACACTGTGTCCTACAGAAAGTCTACTAGGTGGTGCCCTTCTAGCAGATTAAATGACACTGGCGGACAGCCCAGGCTGTCATGGACACACACACAAACACATTTGAAGCATACCGATATTGAGGGGGGAACACATGGAGCTAGTGATGCACTAGATACATTAAATGTATAGGTCAAAGGGAGGCAGAGGTGCA